ATATTGAATCAATCTCGATTTGATCGTATGTTGTCTTGATCCTGCATTAAGTTATGAATTAAGGAAAAAACATTGCAAAATTGTTGAAAGGATATATCTACTCACCGATCATATGAAGCCCGCAGAAAATATTGCTTAAATTCGGAACTAAGCGAAAACCCATTGCGTTTGAATGTCGTTTTGATTTTTCCCAATGAAAATGTTGTCTGGTGATGAAACGCAGTAAGCATTTCCTCCATATCGTCTCTCCAGCTTGACATTGTTATGACTTTTTGGTGATCCTGAAGTTCTGATTTAGAATGGGAAATAAAATTCGTTTTTTATCTCAATAGATTGCTCGGTGAGTGTTCTGTTCGAAATGGCGTTGACATAAATGCAAAAGTGAAATCATAGTTTTTCTGTAAAACTGAGAAGATTGTACTTACCTTCACCTTTTTTGATATTTTGGAAGAAAATCTGTATTTTTGAAATTGAAAGTAGTTTTTGATAATGTCGGAACGTCAGTTGCCTTTAATTTAATTATTTTGGCTACAGTATGCCAAATATTCAATGGATCTACGGAATTATAATGCTTCACGTTGAAGAGTTGTACACCAAGTAATGACACGTGACCCTAGCGATACAGAATTAGTTGTCAAATTTAATTCGCCACGGCGAAATTGGTTTTCCGTTATTGATTGTGCTGCCATCACTACTATGCATAAGAGATTAATTCAAAATCGAATTTTATGTCTTCCTTTCTTTTACTTTAAATACAATTTCATTATAAGAAAAAGAAAAAGGTTGTGTTTAATAGAAATTATAATCGTTTTTATTGTTTTCACTCTGTTTCAGTCCCTGAAGTAAGCTTCCTAGGCCGAATCAGCTGCGTAAAAATATTTCTCAATATAATGTTTGGTTTTTAACACTATGCTCATGCATAGTAATTTTTACCCAATTTCAAATCATTCCAATCTAAATTGGGCATTGGTTGTGTACACAATATCAATCTCTCGTCCTGCAAATGGTGAAAAGATATCCAATTTTTATAAAAATGAAGAAAATTCATGAATAATTCAGTCGTAGAGGAATTTGAATTTATTAAAATAAAGATGTAAAAAACAAACAGAAGAATGAATTAAATAACATTTGAATTTTGAAAACATTTTTAAAATCTGCATTGAATTTATGGGTTGGTTCTGGCGTGAATGGTGTCCAAATGTGTTTTCAAACAAATTTTCCGTGTAAAACGCTTCATACAAATCTCGCATCGGAACGGTTTCTCGCCGTTGTGCGTTCGAATATGCTCTTTCAAATTAAATTTTTTCGAAGTGACAAACTTCTTGCAGATATGGCATTCATATCTACGGTTTTTGCACGCTTTTTCGTGGGCATCTTTTTCGGTCTTTTGGGAAAATCCATTGAAACAGCCGAGGCAATGGTACGGAACTTGTTCGATGTGAGTCACTTTATGCTGTTTCATGTGTTCCATTCTTGTGAATTCTTTACGACAAATATCACATCGATATGGTTTCTCGCCGGTGTGAGTACGCATGTGACGACTAAGATTCCCGTACTTGCTGGAATAACCACACAGCTGGCACTTATTTTGCTTCTTTGACTCCAACTGGTTTGATGAAGCTGATGATGATGGTCGTGTTGTAGTTTTCAACGTACGTGAGCTGGATTTCGTGTTCTTTGTGGAATATTTGGAAGGTCCTACCTCTGCTGGCCCAATATCTTGATTGACATTAACCCCAATGCCATCATCTTCATCCATATCTTCCAATTTTACATTATTTCTGACGATTTGGCTGTTATTAAAGACAAAGCGAAGAGAATGAGTTATTGTAAAGGATAAAAACTAAACAACTTTGAAACCACTTCGAAAATATCAAAATAACATCTACCGATCTTGACTTACTGATAATCGAAAACTGGAAAATGTGCTCGACTTTCAACCACCTTGGATTGAAACGAAGACATCAAGGCATTATCATCCAGTTCATCGGCCGTTGTTGCGTCTCTGTCGAATTCGCCATTATTTCCGTCGTCGCTTGAGTCATCGGTGTCGACCAAATCAATCTTTTGATACGGTCCATTGTTTTCCAATCGATCACTGAATTGAGTGGAATCATTTTCCATTTGGTAGGAAGTTGTGTCTTGAAACATTTTCACATCGCGTTGGTTCATCATTTGGTCTTCAATTCGTGAATGGATTTCGAATCGATTGTACGTTTCCACCAATCTGGATGCAGAACAATATTCAAAATGATTTTGGAATTCAAAAGGATACAAAATAAAAGCAGTAGATGATATATACCGAACATTGGAAGCATGTAAAAAGTGCTGTTTGAATGTTGGATCTAATTCAAAGCCATTGTGCTTGAAGGCCAATTTTATGTTTCCCAAAGATTGAAAAGCATAATGCTCGAATGCATTGAGCATTTTTGTCATCTCTTCATTCCAATCCATTGTTACAATTTACACCTAAATTCAAAGAAAACAAGAAATTCCAATTCAATTGTCTGATTGTAAAAGTATATCTCAAATATAGAAACAATAACTGAAAGAGTGCCGAAATTGGTCTATTTTTTCGAACAAACTAGTATTTTATACCTTCTAAATAAAGCCATACACCACACAAAGACTATACAAAGGTCAACATATATTATTTTCTCACATATTTTGAATACAAAACTACTTTTATCAAATTTCTGTAATATTTTGCATCAAACTAACGAAAATTCAATAATTTCTTTTGTCAAAAAATTCCATAATTTACCTCTGATCTAGTTGCGGTGAGTATAAAAAAGACTGAATTTGACTTGTTACAAAAACGGAAGTTTTGTTGTAAAAATGCTGGCGTTTCAGCAATATTCTTTACACTTTTTACAAATTAATTGTATTTTATGCTCAATTAAACTTGATATCGTGTAGATTATAGGATGCCCAAGATAAATAGATGTACGTGCTTTGCGCAAAGAAAGGTGGTGTTATAATGACAATACCGTTTTGTAGCAATCTGTCAAAAATTGCTATTTCGCCACTGTAAAATTGTTGTGTGACGAATTCATTTCGCCGCCTTTATCCTTGAATATCTTTTGTCAAAACTTCAATCTAAGATTCGATTTAAATAATGAAAATAAATAGAAAACAAAAAAATTACAATGAAACCAATTGTTTTTGAGCTTTATTGACATTTATTAAAGGCATTAAGGCCTAGCGAAAATATTTTGAATTTGAAGAAACCATTGTGTTGGAAATTAAAGTATCGTTCTTAATTATAAATGTATTGCATGAGCGAAATTGTATTGAGCGATTGAAATTATGCGTTGATTCTGCTGTGAATGGTCTTCAAATGAGCTTTCAGATTACATTTCTGTGTAAAGCTCTTCATACAAATTTCGCATCGGAATGATTTTTTACCGTTATGCTTTAGCATATGTCTTTTCAAATGAGTTATACCTACATTGACAAACTTCTTGCATATATGGCATTCATAACAACGCGCCTTGCACAATTTTTCGTGGTCATCTCTTTCGGTTTTCTGGGGAAATCCTTCAAAACAGCCACGGCAATGGAACGGAAATTCCTCTGTGTGAGTCAATTTGTGGTTCTTCAAGGACTGCATATTTGTGAATTCTTTGCGGCAAATATCACATTGATATGGCTTCTCGCCTGTATGAGTACGCGTGTGTTTCTTGAGGTCCCCCTTGCGATTACTAGAATATTCACAAAGGTCGCACGTGAATCGCTTCTTCACCTCGAACTGGTTTGATGGCTTCTTTTTGCCCAATGATCTTGGAGTCGGGCGTGATTGCATTTTTCCGGTGGCATCAACGAAGTTTGGTCGATTGTTCGATGTAACAGTAGATGTTGGTTCGTTCGTGGTATCCATATCGTAATTCAAATCGCAGAGACTCGAGTTGAAGCCATCATCCATTTCCGCTTCTTCTGCTTTCATTTCATTATGATTAATGATTTTGTTGCGACGTCTAGCTTTGCTTTGTGTTACATCTTTTCGGCCGTTTAGACCATTTGAGTATGTCTCTGGCATTTCATTGTAGCTTCCTTCGTCGTCATTTTGAAAGAAATCGTTCAATTCAGAGGTTGCGCCAATGTTATTGTATTGAAAAGGAGAGGTGGTCTCTGAAGGTTCCACTTTGGGATACATTGTACCATCGTCTTCATCGCTTGAGTCGATGATTTCAACCGAATTGGTCATGTAATGGCCGTTTTGATAAACTGAGCTCGATATCTGGGACCTATCAGCCATAGACAGGTCTGCACCAAAGTCGTTGTGTTCTTCAAACAGTTGATTCACTTCGAATTGATTATACGTATTTTTGATCCTGAGCAAAAGGTAAGATTATTCGATTATTGAAATAATAACCCGACTGAATAGTAGCCACTCTACTCACCGATCATATGAAGCATCCAGAAAATATTGCTTAAATCCAGGATTGAATGATAATCCCGTTCGTTTGAGAGCCATTTTAATGTTCTTCAAGGAGACTTTTGCCTGTCGATCGAATGCGGCAAGCATTATGTCCATTTCGTCGCTCCAGCTCAACATTCTTTTATCTATTTTGAATAAATTATACAATGTATTTCTTATCCCCATATTCGCTCAGTGGGTGTGCTATTCAAAATGGCGACAACATGAACGCAAAAACAAGAACACACTTCTTTTGAAAAAAAAAACTGCGACGATTGAACTTACCTCGACCTTTTATATATTTTGCGAGAAAAATTCTGTATTTTTGAAATTGAAAATAGTTTTTGATAATGTCGGAACGTCAGTTGCCTTTAAGTTAATCGTATTTTAGAAATAAATTGCTTCAATATGCCAAATATTCAATGGATTCACGGAATTTTAGTGCTTCACGTTGAAGAGTTGTTCACTAAATAATGGTACGTGACCTCAGCGATACAAAATTAGTTGTCAATTTTAATTCGCCATGGCGAATTTTCCGGTGTTGGTGGAGCTGTCATTATTTCTTTGCATAGGAGGTGAATTCAAAATAATAATAATAATAAAATTTGAGTAAAATACATGAATTTGATGATTTTAATGCATCTTTTATTATTACACGCTGTCAAATCAATTTATCGCTTTTTATTGAAACCGGAACAGGGAAATGAGTTAATTAAAAATGAAATTGTTTTCTGAACATTGTTAACAGTAATTAGAGAAAAAAGTACATAGAAATGTATTGAGCATCCAAATTTACGGATTGAGTCTGGTGTGGATGTTGTTCAAATGAGTTTTTAGACTATTCTTCTGTGTAAAACGCTTCATACAAATCTCGCAACGAAACGGTTTCTCACCGGTATGCTTCCGCATATCCTTTTTCAAATCCATTTTTGCCAATGTAATATACTTCTTACAGGCATGGCATTCATATCGACGTCTTTTGCACACTTTTTCGTGCGCACCTCTTTCAGCCTTCTGGGAAAATCCATCCAAACAGCCGCGGCAATGGAAGGGAATTTCATTGGTATGGGTTACCTTGTGCCTCTTCATGTGATTCAACTGAGTGAATTCTCTGTGGCATATATCACATTGATACGGTTTCTCGCCTGCGTGAGTACGTTTGTGTTTATTTACGTGTGACTTGTAATTACTGGAATATTCACAAAGTTCACACTTGTGTCGTTTCTTCACCTCGAACTGTTTTGATGGCTTCTTATTTCTCAATGATCTTGCAGTCGAGCGTGATTGTGTTTTTCTGGCGTGATCAACGACGTTTGGTCGATTGTTCGATGTCACAGTAGATGTTCGTTTGTTTTTGGTGTCCATATGAAGAAAATCGCGCATTGGAATGTCACAGTCCAATTCTTGTGCCATATCGGTTTCTTCAATTCTTCATCCACACTTTGCGAACCGTCTTTTCGGTAGTCACGACCATTGAACTTAAGTTCAGTGTAGCTTCCATCAGACGCTGCGTCATCATTGCCGTATGAAAGAACAGATGTGGTATCCGACGGTTCACGTGTAGTTTGAACTATTCCATCATCATCGTCATCGCTTGAGTCGATGATTTCCAGTGGATCAGCCATGTGATCACCGTTCGTTTTAATAGAGCTTCCAAAAGATGTTGAAGTTCCCGTATCAAAACCGACTTGCTCTTCCAATATTGAATCAATCTCGATTTGATCGTATGTTGTCTTGATCCTGCATACAGTAATCAATTAATAAAAATCAGTGTGTCCATAACATATAGAAATAGCACTAAATAGTGTCGATATCTATACTATATTGGTCGACTATATATGTAAGATATTCCGCAAGACACCGTAGCTCACGATAGAAGTGAGTGCGGACGGCAAACATGTTGACGCATACACACAGTTCTTTCTACTGCCGCATGGCAATTTGTGATTTTTTCCGTCTACACTGGCTTCGATCGTGCGATACGGTGCCGTGCGGCAATATCTTTCATATATAGTGGACCGATATAGTATAGATATCGACACTATTTAGTGATATTTCTATATATTATGGACACACTGATAAAAATACCATCAAATATTGATGTATTCACTCACCGATCATATGAAGCCCGCAGAAAATATTGCTTAAATTCGGAATTAAGCGAAAACCCATTGCGTTTGAATGTCGTTTTGATTTTTCCCAATGAAAATGTTGTCTGGTGATGAAACGCAGTAAGCATTTCCTCCATATCGTCTCTCCAGCTTGACATTATTATGACTTTTTGGTGATCCTGAAGTTCTGATTTAGAATGGGAAATAAAATTCGTTTTTTATCTCAATAGATTGCTCGGTGAGTGTTCTGTTCGAAATGGTGTCGACGTAAACGTGAAATACCTTTCCCAGACTAGGAAAAAAGACACCATTTGCATGGAGAGAAAAACAGAGAAATTTGTACTTACCTTTTTATAATTCGGCAAAAAAATGTTTATTAAGTGAAAAAGGGGATTTGAGTATGTAGCCAGAGTAATTTTGCTTTAAATTTAATTGTATATTAGAAACAAATCGTTAGACCTACTGAATTACTCAATTTTATTGTTTCACATTTTTATGCTGTACAAAAAATGTTGACAAATGAACAAGTGAATGACAAGTGCCCTAAGCCAATCAAAAGTTGTCAAATACAATTCGCCATATTCAACAGCTCGGGGCGAAATGGATTCATCGATAATTCTCGAATATAAGAGGGCAATTTAAAGCTAACGAAAATTACCGTTTCTTTATTTATGCTCCATTATATGAGTAATAATCTAAATTTCGTAGATGTTCGAAGTTCGAACAGAGGTTCGTACGTGGTTGGCGTTCAGGTCGATCTTCACACCTTTTGTTGTAAAATATCAAAACTGTATAAAAATCTCACCAGCACCAAGCAATTTTTATCCCCGGCTCTTTTGCATGTGTAAAATTGAGGTATTTGAGTAAATAAGAGTTGGTTTCATCTGATATCATCGGTAAACAAGAAAAATTATGTTTTCTATTTAATATTCTATATAATAATAATATTATATATAATTTCTAATGAACATTAATTTATACAGCATATGCGAGCGAAATCAATGAGTCAATGGCATTTCTTGTTTATTTTTCTCACTGTTTGTTGTTTCAGTCATTTGGTATTTTTTCTAAATGTCAACATCATTTCAAAGAATCGGAGAACAAAAAAATTGTTCAAATTTCGAATTCCATTTTAATGATCGTATTTTATTGAATTAAATTTACTATTTGCAGTAACTTTTGATAGAAAATTTTCAATTAAAAAAATGTTCATATCAAAGTTAATATATATTTGGATGAATGAGTAAAAGAATTTAAAAAAATTATTCATTAAAATTGTTTTCGTTCATGTAAATTCAAATCATTTGGTTGCCTTATACATTGGGCCAAACAATTCCTTCGATCCAGTCCAAGTAATATGCGACCCTAGTGAAAATGGTTGGTAGAGCAAGACCACAGCTTTGACCAAACGATACAATGCCAACCACCGTGGCCAGCGATGTTTCATTGTTGGGGAAATAATGCAATGGCCCAGCAGTGTCTCCGTAGCAAGTGTCGCTTTCTCCTTGAAGGCCATGTGCACAATATTGTCCTTTAATCAGACCATTTCGATAGGTTGGCAAATTTTGTTGGCGATTCCATTTCATCATTGTTGAGTTGCATTCCGATAGTGACATCGTAATCAATTCTGTTTTACGCACGATCTCTGATGACACATTCCCTTCAATATAATTAAGTTAAAATTAGTTTAATTGTTCATGCCAAAAATAAAAATGATATAGCCTACATTCAGGTGATGTAGTATCCCAGCCGGTTACAGTGAGCTTCACATCCGATGGTATGTCATCCAAATTTGTTTGTAAACAAGCTGGCTTAATGTAACTTGAAAATTGGATTCTGTTTTTTACCCGAATCAAAGCAATGTCATTCACTTTCGCGTCACGATCATAACGCGGGTTAACGATGATCTCCTGTTCAAAATAATTCTAATCAATATTTAATTTCGCTTACAAAAAAACCAACAATAGTAACCTCAATTTCATGATTAGTTGCTTTAATTGTGTCATTATTTCCACTTTTCAAAGACACCTGCTTAATATTGATAACAAAAATCAAATGAAAATCATTTTGAAATAAAGCACTGCAGTGTATTTCTTACCTTTCCCATACGAACCATTGTCGGTCGTCTTCGACTCGTCCGAGTATCACTTACAGTTGGCTTTCAACGCGACTCGATTTAAGAAGCACCATCTCTTTCACGCCAGGTTCTCATATATTTTTTTCTTGCAAATAATATAAAATATTTGTGTGTTTTTTTCAATTTTTTTTATTTATTATAAATTCTATTAATTATTTTCGTTATTATTATTGCAAAACTTATTCAATTTATACAATTTTGCAATTTTATTTGCAAGAAGAAAATATATGAGAACCTGGCGTGAAAGAGATGGCGCTTCTTAAATAGAGTCGCGTTCAAATACATTGTCAATATACAACGCAAGTGATTCTCGGACTCGTCACACAGTGTGCTGCCGTCAGCACAAATTTGTTCGAAATGATTGTGCCAACACAATCGAAGGACACCTTATAATCCTCTTCGAAATAGACCAATGCTGCCTAAGAAATAAAACGAGTTAAATTGCATTTTGAGTTGGAACTGATCAAGTGATCACACATTGTTAACCCCCTTACAAGAGATTTGGTAAAAAAAAAACTATAAAAGAATATGAAAAACATGAATGAAATCTCGAAATAATCAGATTTCTCTTTTGTGAACCCATTTTAAAGAAGAGATGTAAATATTAGCATAAAGAGAAGCCTCGTAACTTACGAGTCGTAAGCACGTACGCAAGCTGACTTTTCCGCATGGAACCGAAATTTTGGGAATAAACAGAAATTATGGTCTATGTATGGTTGCAGTAACTTGAATTACCGTGAAAACTTGTGAATATTATTTTCTTATCAAAATAAATAATCACTCCAAGTTTAAAGAAATTTCAATCAAAAAAGTAGCCTTCAAAGTTTCATATCATTACGGTACCACAATGGCATGTCTTTCATACAAAAATGAAATTTTTTCTGGATTTTTGTATGAAAAGTCTGTGAAAAATTGATTGCATCTTAAAACTAACATAAGATTCGGGTTCCTCGTGCCAAAAAACCCCCCACTACACATTCTTCCAGCGTTCAAATTGAAAGAATATCATTTTAAGGCATTTTTCTCATAAGTGCCTCTTCAGAGTCTAAGTTTTACATCGATCAATCAATGTCGTTGAAAATTTGACCAGATCTATTCCTCCTAATGCCCAATCATCCCGTTAAGTCAGATTTTGAATTTCAGGTCTGAGCACGAAACCATCGTGTCACCAAAATGGTTGAAAAATGATCAAAAAAAGTAAAATGTATGGATTGTGGGTACTCCATTCGGACTTTTACACCAAATTCACCACTCAGTGTTCACCAAACTCAACATTTTTGTGTTGGAATCGACAGATCTTGTTATACTCAATGCAACATAACGTTCAGATGCATTTGTGATTAGATTAAAGAGAAAAAAATTAAATTCACGCAAATGCTGTATTTTTCTCGAATTATTAAAACTTTCCATGGTTGAAAAAAAAAATGTTGCGCAGAAGATAAAATATTTGTTTTTGCTGTTTTGACAGCTATTGAATGACACTTCCAAATGACATATATTTCATTGATATACTACGACACAATTGCAAGTGGTGACATCTAGCATCGAATTCCGGTTTTTAAGTTGCACCCCCAATATAAACAATGAAAGAGATGTGAGAGTGTAGCTATGTATGTGTATGTGTGCGACATTAGTTGTACGTCTGAATACAAGTGAACAGTATCATCATTGAATACGCAAAGGTGCAGACTACTGCGATTGTGCCATTTGAAAGGCACAACGAGAGAACACGGGCTATAACAATCACTTTTATTGTTTTCACTCCATTTCAGCTCCTGACGATATCTGGCTGAAAATATCTCATTATAATGTCTGGTGGCGTTTTATTTTAGCGGTAAAATTCCCATATTTTTTCGAGCTTCAAATAAATTTCCAGTATTTTCCTTAAGTCCGGCCAATTTGGCTTGTGTACTACTTGGGATCGTCAATATGCGGTTCACGTTCCAATTTCGAGTGGATGGCTGTTCCCAATACCTCTTCATAGTAAACTTTGTAGTATCCGGGAAATTTTCTATTTGGTTGCAATGACTTCTTCCATCGCAATAAAAATGTGGATGAACCAAGTTGAAATGCTTCGAACGATTGAACGCTGCAACACTTGTGTTTATAACATGATAAAAAGGGGAGTTTAAGAGTAAATAAAAGACGTTGCTTGGTCAAAATTCGGTCTAAAACTGATTTTTGTTTTTTAATATAGCTCTCAATTTTAATTTTCAGTACAAAGTCGAACCAAAAGGCCTTCTATATATGGTCATGCAATTTAAGTTGACTTTTTGTTGAGTTTACTTTTTTTTTTGTTTATTGAAATATTGGACTTTTGAATGCAAATAATTTTGAATAAATGAAATTTACTATAACAAATAATAAACTTGACTCGAATATTATGCTTATCTAAATTATTATTTTCTTTGTTTAAATTGTTTGTTCAATTATTATTATTGTTGAACATGCTGCTTGGAACACCTTCGGGTGTTTTGAAGTTAATGATTTTCACTTGGAACCTTATTTGGACCATCTGTGCACGAAAAAAAGCAAACATTTTACGATTTTTATTTGATTGCGTTTTCGTTGAAGTAAACATACCTTCGCCGACGATTTGAACTTCTTGAATTGCACTTTCTGTGAAATGGTCGCCATCGACTGATGTCACAATGAATTCATATCTTCGATCTGGTTCTAGACCAGAAATAACAACAAAGTCATTGTCGATAATGTATTTAGTTATTTCCCATTGTGTTCCGCCCTTAATGCGATACTTTGCATAGAAATGAGTGCCTGGTTATTGAAAATGAAATGTGTTAATTTCAAATGAATCGATATTAAAAATGAAAATAATACCTGGCCGTCCGTTAACGTCTGGAAGCCAATGTACTTTAACTTTTGGATAAGGATCTTCTGATGGCAATTGTTCCCATATAAATTCTGGACGATCTGGTGGGTATGAACCTCCTGGCAGTGTTTTTTG